GAAGCAGAAGGTAGTTGATTAGGAAAGACTGAAAGTGCTTACCCTACTTTGATTTTTAATAGAATAACTGGGTAGGAGGAGGATCCAAACTGACGTTAGCTTACTGTTTGGTAGTTTTCTAACAGCTGTTAAGTTGATATCAATGTGCATTTTTTCAGGAGCCTTTTTTTTGTCTCTCAGTGATGTGTTTTGGTCTCAGTGGTGGTTTTCTCTTGCTACTGTTGTTGAAAATTTTCTTTTAATTATGTATTTTAAAAAAACCTGTGAGTGAGTTTCATTTTTAGAATCTTTGCTCCATATTGACAGTAAGCAAAGGCTTTACTTCCCAGCTTAGTAAGATCTACTTGTATTATAAAGTAATGGGCTTATTTGTTTTTAATTTAAGATGTTATCTGTGACCATGGGTAGTGAAAATCATTTCTGGAAATGTGATGGGTTTGACTGTATCATACTGGAATTGCCTCTGCTGATCATGAAGAGTTGAATAATACCCATTTGTCATTTGGGTTGTTGACTCAGACACAGATGATTTCAATTCAGATGACAGAGGGTGTTACGAAACCCAGCTTTGACTCTGCTCCTCTTTCCACAAGTGGCTTTCTCTGTGGCAGGGATGGTTGACCTGTGAAGCAATTCTTTGACAGCCATAGTTTGTAACCTATTCAAGTAAACCAGTGCTGACTTTAAGTTGTGTTAATGCACTGAGTTGGCAACTCTAACAGCTTAGGAGCTGCTTCCTGCATAAATCATCAGTGCAAGTATAGTAGTGGCAGTCTTTGGAGAAGAGTGAAGGCCTGGTAGGATGTTTAAGCTGCCTGTATTAGTGCATAAATTCTCTGTTTCTGATTCACAGCGAACTTGAGAAAGAATCTTTGCAGCCGTCTGCCAGCAGTTGCAGAGTAGTTGCAGGCAACTGCTGGCAACACACCTTTTCTTGGCTCCAAATAATTAATCTCAAACTAAGGCAATTTTCTCCAAGAGTTTTGGTTGTTAATCAAATTTGGAGAAAAGACAACAAGAAGCATTTAATAAAATATTCTTATTTGAGGTTTTCATTTCAGTGGGATTGGAAAAAGACCATTTACTTTTTTTGAAAAAGGTGCATGATGGACACAAGAATATGATCCAAGAAATTTATTGGCCAGGTCTAATTCTGTTGAATAAATCACTTGGGTGTTTCATAGGAATCTGTTCTGACAAGGCTACCAGGTATGCTGCTTGGTAGGGAGGAAAGCAAATGGGTTTGGTTTTGGGTGGTGGCATTGTTGGGAAGGGTGCCAATTTTCCTTGGTTTCCCTTCTTTCCTTTTTAGGATAACACCTTGCTGAGCTCACAAGATAACTCTGGGGATTATGGACTTGTTTTACGTGTCACCACAGTCAGGAAAGCTAACATTGACAGCAGTATATGAAAGAGACAGCCTTATTTTAATGGGTTAGAATAATCTCAAACTGAGGCTTTTTGTTTATTAGTATGTAGATATCTACTCTGTAAACTTTAGATTTTTGCCCTTGAAGCAGAGTTATTTTCCCAAGAAAACTTAATGCTATTTTTGGTTTTGATTATGCCTTTATAGCCTTCGGAGTTAAATATAGAATACGGATATCTTCTGTCTAATAAACTTGTGGAACAGTTGCTTCTCTTGCCTTTTTTTCTCCTGTAGCAGGATTGAATTCCTTGCACTACAGCAACCCTGAAGTCATTACACTGCATTTAAAACAAAACGCAGAAAGAGATGACCTTTTGCTAGGACTCTGTGTTGTTTGTATTGCTAAGCCTTATCACCATCTTCAGCAAAAGCCAGTTTAATCCTTAAACATTTGTAGATATAGTGTCTGTTCAGAATTGTCTATTGTTTGCTGTGTGTGTTCTCACTGATGATAATGTGCATCTCCACAATGCACAAGGGCTCTTTGCCTATTGGATCTTCATTGTACAGGGCAGCTCTTATCTTCCTTGCTGATAGCATATCACCAATGGTACCAGCTAAGAGCTGAAAACACTTCCAGCATAATGGAAAGTTCCACTTTTGCCAGAATGACTCATTAATTAACCCCTGGGTTATTCTGCCTGGGATGGGGAGGTTTCCTGTGCCAATTTAAGTTACAGGAAGATATTATTATATAGCAAAAGATAAATTGATTGGAAGAGTTTTGTCTGCCTTGTAGGAATTATGTTTTCTAATACTATGAATCTGCCTGAAACAAGCTTGGAAACTCACTGAACAATAGATACTTTGGAAAGGATTAACATCTTCCTTTGCTCCTATAGGAGCAAACAGACAACTGCAGAGAAGAATGGGCTGGTAATAGGAGCGTGTGGTGGCAAATCCAGGAGGCTGTAAATATCTTTTACTTCCAACTGACCACAAACTTTTGGCTTTAAATAGATCACTGTTCAAATGTAGCTACCAAGTGACCACTTGAGAGGGAAGAAAGGAAGTAGGCTTGGCTTTGGGTGGTGGCAGGGATTGGGAGGGATATTGGGAAGATGACGAAGCCAGCGGTGACTGCCCTGCAGAATGCCCTTCACGGGCCTGTCAGATGCTGCTGAGTGAGTGGCTGGAGTGTGGTTTCACTGTCCCAGCCTGGTGCAGGTGGAATGTCTGTAACTCAGGACTTCTGCAAATTTGTTCTGTGGACTTCAAGGAATCTTGTGATGCCTTCATAGTGCTGGGGGCATGATTTACTTTTTTTGTGGAAGAATCCTTGTCAGATCTGTAAGATAAAACTTCGTGTGTCTGAAGCAGACTTGAACCAAGCAGAGTGGTATGTACATGAAGACAGATGTGTTGGCTGCAAATGTCTCCCATGAAGAGCTGTAACAACACCTGGCAGTGAGGAGTAAGCTCCAGAATTTGAGATTTAACTCCCAGTAGTTCCTGAGATAGAAAGAGCTTTTGCTGCAGAAGTCCTGGTCCCTTCAGAAAAGGAAGCAGTGAAAAAAGTTTGGGCAGATGCTTCATTTGAGCTAGAAGTGTTGTTTGGACTCCTGGCTAGTGATCTGTTAACATCTTGACATTTCAGACTTGACAACTGTTTACTGAAATACCAAAATGCAGATATTTTTAATCTCTGGTGGAGCTGCACCATTTATTCCCTCTCAGATGCACACGTGTGCAGGGGTGACTTCTGCTTTTTTGCCCCAATGAGGGGCTGTTCACCCAAAATGCAAAAGACTAGACAGACTTGTTACCTGATTCTCTCTTTTTGCCATGTTAGCTCAGTCTGTCTAGGAGGAAACCAGGTGCTGAGCTATGAATGAGCTTTGTAACCACATGGAGTAAGTTGAGGGGCATGGTGCAGAAAGGAATGTTACTTTGTACTGGAGACTGCAAGCAAAAAGAGATGAGGAGGTTAATTTTGTTAAGAAAATGAGCATGTTAAGTATAATACAGGTTGAAACCATTTGTTTGCTTGGGAAAGTTTATGGTCTAAATTTGACACAGGCTCTAGCAAGTAACTGAAGAACTGCCATATGGAGGAGTAGCAGCTTGTGCTAAGACCATACACTTAACAGCTTAGTTTATAAATTTCTATTGAGCAGTGTCTGCATTTCAGCAACAGCAAAAGGATGCTTCATGGGGAGACTTGAGCGAGAAAAGGATGATGAGGTGTTTTTGAGTAGACCTTGCAGGTGCAAAAAGAAAAGGTTGGGAAAAGCTGTCTGTAGTGAGGAGAGAGACATAAATTCTAGTGTAAACAAAGCTATTTAGTTTGTTACTCAATGGTGAAGTTACTGGTGGAACTGTCTAAATCAAATATTTTCAACATCTCATAAATGACATGACCAGTCTAAGGAAGGTCAAAGCAGCATTAACCTTTAGTTACTTAAGAAAAAAATAATAGATTAAAGAAACCAAGTTGGACATGAATCTAATGTCATCTGCAGTTCTTTCCACAGGATAGAGCAGATGTCAGCAACACTCTGGCAGGTTGTGCTATACCTTTTTTTATGTTTTGCTCCAAATTACAGTGTGAAAAGACAAATCATACAGAATCCTAGCTCTGTAGTTTCTCAAAGCAGCAAGATTCTATGGTCATATTCATGGTATGTTACCTCTCTAGCTACATTAGTAGCCAGAAGCATCTCTTGCAGAGATCACTGGCAGCCCCTAGTAGGGAGCTGCTCCCTCCCATGAGGCTGTAGCTGCCAAATCTCAGCCCTATCACACACTTCAAAATCAGTCTACTTACCATCTTTGCCTTACAGCTGTAAGGAGCTGCCACCCATTCGAGGGTGACCTGGAAAGCTTTAGGGGAACAATTTAGCTCTTCATACAGGAGAAGCTAACAGAAAGTATTTTCAGCTTCCAGATCTTTACAGGGATCCTCCCTGAATTGAGTGCTGGGGTTTTTTTGACATCAACACTGTGATAAGCAGAGAAGTGGATCTGGTAATGGCAGAAGATAGCAAGCATTAAACAGCAAAATCTGGAGGTAAAAGGAGAAAGTAACAATTTCCAGCTTAATGGAAACTCTGCGCCCAAAATAAAGAAGGCCTGGCTGCTTTTATTTTATGTACAGTCATCCTCCCCAGCACTGCATTAAAGCACAGGATGAACAATGAAAAATCAAAATGTTATGGGAGGGAAGGAGAATGATGGGGAAATAATAATCATGTGTACAGAAAGTAACCAGTTAGTATCCCACAGTCTTGCTCTTTTAACCGAGTGTTGTGTTTGGTTCTCTGTTTATGGATTCAGAGGAAAACTCCCTGAAATTCTATTTCATTTGAAGGAACAGGGGAAAATGCTGTTGCTGTCGATTCTTAGTACTTCAAACAAATCATGAGTATTGATAATTTGAATATTTCATGTGGTGACACATGAAATATTGATAAAGAAATATAACATAGAATTAGATAAACTCATCATCAGCTCTGCTGTGTTATTGTTTGTAAACTCACAAGCTATTTTTTCATTCAGTTGGAACATTGGTGAACAGTTTTCCACCTGTGTAGAAAACAATTACGAATCCTTCTGTGTTCTCAGGTTTTGAATGCAGTCTAAATCCAAGAAATATGAAGAAGAGACACCATCTCTGCACTGGGGGATGGATCCTGTATTTTCTGCCTTTGCAAGACTTTATATTAAAGATATAAAAGAAATGAGAGAATCTAAACAGGTGCCAGGTATGTATTTATATGTACTGATTATGATACAGTATTATAATTGATTTGTGTTGTGCTTTTATCAAGGGACTGCAGAATGCTTTATGAACATCAGTAAAGGAGTTTTCCATACACCTGAGCTAAGTGATATTATTATCTTTTAACAGTTCTAAGAACAAAAGGTTGTATGTGAAATATATATGAAAAATCAAAAATGTATTCACTACCATGGATTTCTTTCTTTCATATCTATGGATCCAGAACCTCTTTTACAGGTGATGTTGTGTTCCTTTGTGTGGTAAGAACTTGTTATATTCTGACAAAGTTAATTCTACAAAATGCTGGTCCTTTCTGGCCATATGTGTTACATCTTTTCACTGTCTCTTCAACATTTAAGAAGGATTTTATGCTTATTTATTGCCAAATGTTGACAGTTGATGACACTGCTGGGTGTGTCTATTTTGCTTTTTCCTGTGGATATTAACATAATGTAATGTAAGCAGATACAGGTTTTTGAGGTTTATGTCTGCTTAATTTCTAGATATGATAGGTATCTCTCCAGCTTCCCTGTAAGCCCCCTTCAGGTACTGGACCTCATAGATACCTTCCAGTGTCTGAAAGGGGCCTACAGGGATGCTGGGGAGGGACTCTTCTTTAGGAACTGTAGCGATAGGACAAGGAGTAATGAGTATAAATCAAACGAGGTGAAATTTAGATGAGATATTAGGAAGACATTTTTTACTGTGAGGGTGGTGAAACATTGGAACTGGTTGCCAAGGGAGCTTGTAGATGCCCTAACCCTGGCAGTGTTCAAAGCCAGGCTGGATAAAGCCTTCACCAACCTGGTCTAGTGGGAGGTGTCCTGCCCAGGGCAGGGGGGGTTGGGTCTGGGTGATCTTTAAGGTCCATTCCAACCTTTTAACTTTCTATGATCTTATGACATTCTTTGTATGTTTGAATAATCTTGTTGTTAATTCTGGCATCTGTGCTGAATCTTACACCACACCTTTTATTTCTGAGCCATTGTTGGCAGTTGTCTGCTTTGCTGTGTGTTTCCTGCTGGGCTTCAGCCAGTGTCACCCTCATATGAATATTGTCTGAAGCAACATGGGCCTGACCTTGAATTTCTATGTCACTACAAAGACTTTAAATAGATTGCAGTATGTTTTCTGCTGTAGGAGGGTTCGTTGCTCCAAACTGAAGCTTGACAAGGTGCAAGATAATCAGGGAGGAACCCAAGCAATTTAGAATTAATGAGGAAAAGCAATAAACCCTAAGCAGAGTCTGTGCCTTTAGTTCAGTTTTGGTGTTTTGTTTGTGTTGCTTTCTTTATATTTTTTTTCTGTCCACAGAGACAAGGTACATCTGTTTGGCTTTTTGAATATGCTCTGCCTTGAAGGTTTTGTTGTTATTCTTTGGTTTTCTTTAACAGCAAGGATAGCAGCAGTGCTGTTTTTGCAGAAATGGAGGACTGGTGTTTTTTTTGCTCTTCTTGCAACTATTTGTATGTACATAGGGACTTCACAAACTGCAAATCCCAGTGGGTGTATATATATATATGTGTGTATATATATATATATATATACATACATACACATGTATATATATGTGTATATATATATATATGTATCATTTAACATGATGGGAGAGTTTTGTCTTAAATCCATTGTAAGAATTAGGCTACAGACTGTGGCTGATGTTTGTCCTACAGTGAGTATTATTTGGAGCCTTTTTAAACTGTCTTACAAGAGTGTTATAGTAGTACCGATGTAGCAAATGCATCTGGTAAAAACTGTTCTGCTTCAATTAGAGATATTTTATTTGTTTCTAAACAAAATACACACCAATGCAATGTCAGCTGAGTAGGATTGTAGTTTGGACTTAGATATTAGTACATACACACATAAAAATATATTCAGAATAATTAACCTTAGAAATACCAACAAACATTTTGTGATAGCAGGAACAGTCCTAGAAAGTACAATCCTGCCCTCCTCTCTCCTTTTTTTTTAACCTCTTAATCACCTGAATATCCCTTCTCACTTCTCTTCCTGTTCTTTTACTTAAGTGAGTTGACTTCTGTTTCGGGAACTCTTTCAGTTTTGTTATTACCTTTTTCTGCTAAAGATCATCCCGAGGAAGTGGTGTCTTTCATATCAAGGTATCAGCCTTTACAACTGGTGCATGCAAACTTTCTCCACTCCCTCTGCATCTGGTGTTCTGTACCTCTCAGCTTGCTTGCAATCCTGTATCATTTTCTAAACCAAACTTTTAAGAATAAAATGAAATTTCATAGAACAAACATCCTGAATTTTTTCAATCTCCTGGTGCTGTGTATATGCCAAACCAGATGTCTTTCTTATTTATTGGCAACAAATGACAACACAACAGAAACACCAAGAAAAACTTTTGGGGAAGGAAGAATGTAGGTGTTTGTTGTCAATGTTTCCTGCCTTTAATGAGCTTTTAAAGACCAGCTGAAGATAAGAATATGATTAACTATAAATCAGTCATTAAGTAATGGTAATTAAGAATGAGTGAGTGCAAAACAAGGGGTTGTAACTAGGAGGAATGGAAAGAAACACTGACTGAATGTCAGGAAAAACATCCTTAGAATGACATCTATGAAACCATGGAGCAGCCTTCCCAGGAAAAAGGTGGGATGCCCTTCACTGGGATTGTTTATGCCATCACTGTACAGATTGCCAGGAATTTACTGTACAAAATGGTCTTGGATTCGCCCTGAGGGAATGGACTGAATGACCTAATGAGTTTTTTCTTTCCATTTTTAAGCATTAGGATTTGATGCCACGATGACTAATCCCTTAAAACAACACAGAGGAAAGCAGTAAACCTGGCCAATTACTCTCCTGCTATAAATGGTGACAAGAAAGCTGGAAAGCCTCCCAGATAAAAACAGCAATTGTGTTGTCTTAGCAGCCTTGCAATGAGAGTGGGTGTCAAACTCAGTTGTAACACATAATCACATCATGGAAATGAGCTTTTTTTTCAGCGTTATCATGCACAACTGCATTGTGACAGCTTATCCACAACCTAGGGAAGCTACAAATAGCATAAAAGAAGGTAATAATAATTAGAGCAATGGCAAACAGCTCAGTGCTCAGTAATGCTGGTAAAGACATGACCAGCACTTGCCCTAGAGGACTCTGTGTCTCTAGCCGCGGTACCACTGCTGTGGCTTCCTGTTGTGGGTAGAGCATATTACTGTATGTGTTCTTTCCTGGGTTATTAGGATCTTCACTGAATGTGTTTGTCCATAGATTCAAATGTTTAGCATCTTTTTATTGCTACCAATATGAACATAATTTGAACAAATAAGCTTGCAGGAAAAACAATTTATACCTTGAAGTGGCCAAGTCCAGCAACTTTTAATAGGTTAAATATAATTTCATCTTTCCAATTAATTTGGGTAGTTTCTAGGAGAGTAAGGGTGGAGTTCTATGTGAATTGATGGGGATGGAGAGAACCAGTTTTATTTGGTCTCTGTCATTGGCCAAAACTCAGCTTACTAACTCGGAAATGAACATAATAACATGTTGCTTGCTTGCATAATCAGGAGCTCTGTAGAGTCTCTGCTCTACACACTTACCCTGAAACTAGCCCAGACCTTTTATAGAGATGTTGTAAGATTCAGTGCATAACTACAGACACTGGGAGCATCTCTATTGAGGGTTTCTATAGCAGTGTTTATTCATGCCCTAGGAAATGGGATGAGAGAAAAGTGGACAGACCTGCTAAACATTCCCTGTGCCAGACCTGACCAGTAACTGCAGGATTCGTATCTAAGGTGACAGTAGTAGCTGCATTCTCAAAACATTGCAGTGGATTTTCATGAGCAAAACTTCCCTTTTATGAGCCACTTGGCTGGTCCTCTACAATTTCTTCTGAAACCTTTGGGTTCCTTGTCTGCCTCGTGTTAATTCCAGGCTCATTTAAGGCTGCTAGCTATGTAGGACAAGTTATTTTTGGATTTTGGGTTTGATTTTTATTTTATACAGAACATTTTTCTGAAAACATTGCAGTGGATTTTCATGAGCAAAACTTCCCTTTTATGAGCCACTTGGCTGGTCCTCTACAATTTCTTCTGAAACCTTTGGGTTCCTTGTCTGCCTCGTGTTAATTCCAGGCTCATTTAAGGCTGCTAGCTATGTAGGACAAGTTATTTTTGGATTTTGGGTTTGATTTTTATTTTATACAGAACATTTTTCTGCTTGCTGCC